GAAAGTGCTGCTAATAATGCTGGTGCTCATGTTGGAAAAATGATTATTCTTCCTTCAACATTTGTTGGTTCACCACGTAATATGATGCAACACTATCAAGATGCGATGGCATTAGTTCGGAAATATGGAAAACCAGATATTTTTATTACTATGACATGTAATCCAAATTGGCGCGAAATACGAGAAAATTTACTTCGAAATCAACAACCTGCAGATAGACCAGATATATGTGCTCGTGTATTTAACATAAAGAAAAATTATTTAATTGATGTTATAGTTAGACAACAATTTTTTGGTGAAGTTATAGCATATGTTTATGTAATTGAATTTCAGAAACGTGGTCTACCACATATACATATGTTAATTACATTAAAACCAAATTGTAAAATTACAAATTCTGAAATAGTTGACAAATTCATCTCGGCAGAAATACCTGATCCTAATAAAAATGAAAATTTACATAATATTGTTATGAAACATATGATTCATGGACCATGTGGAGATTGGTGTATTGTTAATGATAAATGTTCGAAACACTTTCCAAAACCATTTCATTCTGAAACAACTATGGATGAAGATGGTTATCCACATTATCGTCGAAGAAATAATGGATTGCTGTACGAAAGACCTGGAGGATATCTTGTTGATAACCAATATGTTGTCCCATACTGTCCAATGCTCTTACTTCTGTTTAATAGTCACATTAATGTCGAAATAGTATCAAGTATACGATCCGTAAAGTACTTATATAAATATATTTACAAAGGTCATGATGCTGCATCTGTAGTTATTGGAGAAAACTTGGATAACAAACAGATAGTTCACGATGAAATCCGAGATTTTATTGAAGCTCGTTACGTTGGACCTGTAGAGGCTTGCTGGCGTATTTTGAGTAAGCCTTTGCAAGAAAAAAGTCACGCCATTGTACGTTTACCAGTACATTTGCCAAATGAACATAGTGTAGTAATTGATGATAATTCTATTGATAATACAATGAGATCTGCTTTAGAACGGGTTACAATGTTGATTGATTATTTTGAATTGAATGCTCGTGACCATGAAGCAAAACAATATTTATATACTAATATTCCATCTTATTATGTATTTAAAAAAGTTACAATTAATGGTAAAACTGTTTATCGTTGGGAAAAACGTCAACAATACTTTAATTGTATCGGACGTATGTATTCTGTCAGTCCATCACAAATAGAATTATTCCATTTACGTATACTTTTATTAAATGTCAAAGGAGCAACAAGTTTTCAAGAATTAAAAACAGTTAACAATGAAGTACACCCCACTTTTACTGCTGCATGTTTAGCATTAGGACTTATAGAAGACGATGAAGAATGGTACCGTGCAATGAATGAAGCAAAAGTTTGGATGATGCCTAAACGTTTTCGTAGATTATTTGTCCGAATTTTAATTCATTGTCAACCAGTTCATCCTAAAAAACTTTGGGATGACTTTAAAATAGAGATGTCAGAAGACTATATGAAACGATATGGATCTAAGGAGGGAATTAAAAGAGCTTATAGTCATATTAGTAATTTGCTACATATTGAAGGATGGGATATTTCCGATTTTCCTGAAATGGAACAAATAGCTGAAAAATTTGAAAATGATAATCAAGAAGAGGTTAACAGAGAAGCATTAATAGGTATGCAACAATATGAACAACTAAATGTAAAACAAAAGGAAATTGTTGATACTATTTTAGCAGTAATAGACGGTGAAAACAATTCTGGTACCTGCTTTTATATTGATGGCCCAGGTGGTTCTGGCAAAACTTTTATTTACACAACTATGTATTATTTACTTAAAAGCAGAAACAAAGTAGTAAGTGCCATGGCTTTTACTGGTATTGCGGCAACATTACTTCCAAACGGAAAAACGGTACATAAAGTATTTGGATTACCTGTACCTCTTTTTGATGATTCAACATCAAACATTAAAATTCAGTCTAAAGATGCTGACAATTTGAAGCGTGTAAATGTGTTCATTTTAGACGAAGCGCCTATGGCTCCACGCTACGTATTAAATATAATGGATCGAACGTTACGTGACATTATGCAAAATGATTTAGATTTTGGTGGTAAAATTGTTCTTCTTGGTGGAGATTTTCGGCAATTATTGCCTGTAAAAGAACGAAGTACACGCTGTGAAATAGTAAATTTATCAATTAAATTTAGTTCTCTGTGGAAGCAATTTAAAATATTTTCATTAACAGAAAATATAAGAGTTTTGCCACAAGAAAAAGAATTTGCACAATTTTTATTAGATTTAGGTAATGGTTCTTTAAATGATCAATCAGATAATATTCAAATCCCAGAAAGATGTATAGCGGATATTAACGCCAATATAGTAAGAGATATGTATGGAGATATTATAGCACGTAAGCAATATAGATCCATTGCTAATTATGTTATATTATCTGCAAGAAACGCTGATGTTAATGAAATAAATGAAAGAGTAGTAAATTTGTTAGATGAAACAACGGAGAGACTTTATACAAGTATAGATACTGTTGAAACAACTAATGATAACGAAGATATACATGAAATGATTTTAACAGAGTATCTCAATTCTTTAAATCCAACGTGTCTTCCACCACATAAATTATGCTTGAGAAAATATACCGTTATTATTCTAATTAGAAATCTCAGTATCAGTGAAGGATTGTGTAACGGTACTA